GCATTAATTATAAGGAAGAAAAATAAATCTCATATGCTTGGCAAGCAATGTATGATCCATCACTATCAATGGAGAGCCATCCAATCAATATAACCCACTGAATTATGTAATGATCCAAGTTTTTCTGTTGCATAGGTCCATTAGCAACATAGTGTTTAAAATTTGAATGAAGCTTCCATGCATGTTCCATTCATAAAATGCAGAAAACCTAAAGCAGAGCTCAGAAAGAGCTTGAAAACATTTGTTTACCTGTAAAATTTGTCACTGGATATCTGGAGGTTTTATGAGATATGTTAAAACTTTATTACAATGATACTTCATAATAAATGATCATGCAGCATTTTTTACTTAACTGATATACAGAAAATGTTTGGCTTTGTGTTTAAATGATAAAAACAGAATAATAATAAAAATTTGCAAACAAAAATCTTATTTTACAGAATGAAAGATCACAATGATCTCTATCTTTGTCTCCAATGACAAAGCTTTTCATTTTTGTCTGGACTCAGATCTTGAAGTCAAAACACACTATAATAGCTTTCTCTGTCCCTTTTCAATAACATAAAGTCAGAATAAACTGAATTTTGTGCAAGACAATCATGCCTACCTTATTTGATTTATTGTTTGAAATTGGTCAATACAGTCAGGGAACTAGAGCATGGGAATGGGTGTGCAGGATGTGCCTTGCACATGGGTGCTGTGGTCATGAGAATGCCAAAAAAACATTTCAAAAATAAAATAAAAAATGAAACAGAACATTACATTGAAAAAGTAAAATTGAAAATTTCAACAGTCCAAGTATTAACTCTGGTATATATATTTACAGGAAATCCTCATTAATTCAAACTCAGATAGTTCAAAATCCCATTAGGTCATAACTGTACTTTTGTCCTGGCTGATGATATAGAGATTTATGTTTAGAAATGCAGTTAGTTTGAAATACAGTTACTTCAAAATTTGAAGTTAAAAACTCCAAACTGTCCTATGCACAGTACATTAACTTGTTCATTTGCCACCATGCTATAAGAGAACAATAGACCAAGAACAACTCTAATCTGGTCAATATGGCTTTGCTTTTACAGAAAAACATTTTTGTGTGTCACCTTACCCACGGACTATACTTTTGTTCTCTTATCTCATAAAATATAGCTAGATTTTGGGAATACAAAATTGGGCTACAAGTAGCAGATTGAGATATCTGTAGGACTCTAGGCCAGCATTTCTCAAACTTTTTGCTCATGTTACCCAATATATTTGTTTGTAATGGTTCCATGGATCCAAATGTTTATAATTTAAAATTTTTAAAAATCTGGTAACCTGAGTAACTATAATATATGACAAAATAAAATATGCATTATTGATAATAACTTGTATGTGTGAAATGTAACATTGAGTACATTTCTATTAATTAAAGGCAGTTCAAGCCAATTTCATTTGTAAAAAATAACTTAAATTTCAATAATAAAAACTAAAATTGAAGTTACTACATTGTATTAAAAAATGTAAGACTTTTGAAACAGTCTGTTTTAAAATTATTCATGACTCTATTTTACTTTGAAAAATATTACAAGTATTTTTTATAAACTTAATAAATCCTTTATTAGAATGAGCATTTCAGATTGTAAGAAAATTTTGTTAATTTCATATCATATATAGACAAAAAAAAAAGAATCATTTATTGATCCACTTGTGCTAAAATTCATCTGTTACTTATTTTTTATAATTTATTGTTATGTATGGAAGGAAAGGATAAACAAGGATGGAAATATTTTCAAAATCATTTCCACTTAAATGGCCTTATGACTACGACCTTAACATATAATGATTTTCTATTTTGATGTTATTCAAAATAGCAAAGAGAAATCAATTTCATATACACATATTCTATAACCTTAATTTCATTAATGACAAATGACAATAATAATTATAAGAAAAAGTTGTCTGTATATAAAAGATGCATCTATTGTTCTTAGTTAATACTTATATTAATGAAATATTCTCTAAGAACTACAGAACTATTTCTTCAGAAGGTAGTATTATTTCATGACCATTAAAAATTTTAACCTGACCCAATATTGGGTTATGTTAAAATTTGAGAAATGCTGTTCTAGACTACTATATTTGGGTGATTTACTATATTTTGGGCCTTTTTAAAAATAAATTGGACTACATTTTAAGGAATTCTGCTTTACCTTTTATAAACCTATCTGGCAACCTGTAAAGTTCTCACCAGACACGAGCTGTTTACTTACAATTTATTTATATTATTATTATTAATTAACAAAAATAGCATTCTGTTTTCTTAATAAATTATATCAGTTACATGACATTTAACATGTACAGAAATATGTAAATCTCAGATAATTTGAAATTGCAATTATTTTGTCCCTTCAATTTTAAACTAATGAGGATTTCCTGTGTATGGATTTATAGTACTGCATGATCAGGCATATGTGAAGAAGTTTATTTTTTGATGAGGAATAACTTGTATGTACTAGTATACAATAATGTCACCAAACGTTCATGCTGTCCAAACTTAATTCAAAAGAGTTTTGATGGTGATAAATAATTCTGGGTATATTTGCACTAATTTGTAAGAAAGGGATAAAAGGGACTCACACACAGATATGAGATACCCTAGAGGCACATTGAGAACAGGATATTGTCCCGATTGTTTTGAAGTCTAAAAAAACAAAGGAACAGATAATTGGATAATTATACCTCTTGTTGATAACCTCACTGACCTACTATAGTTTCTTAATGAAAGCAAAAAAGAGATAATAAAGTGGCACCTTTGATTTGATCACAAGCATTAGTCATAGCTCTGAACATTTAAAGCAGGAAGAAGTCAGACTGGATTGTTGGAAGAGAAAAAATGAATTTTAATTGAAGACTTAAATTCCTTTCTTGGAAGATTTTGTATGATGTTCAAGTTTAAGTGATAAGGTTGGTTTTTCCCTTGTCCTATAATTTATTTTTGGCATGGCTACACGTCAATGAGTGCAAATATATTTATCTGATATACTGCTTTGCAACACTAATATCCAAACAGTTTAGCTAAGGTTTACTTTTGGAGATTCAAGTAAAGTTCATATTAATCAATAATTTGTAACAATCAATCTCATTATATGTGGGCATAACTGTAATAATAACTGACTAGTAATGAAACCTAAAAGGAATAGAAGGCAAGAGAGAAAAAGTTCATTTGCCCCTCTATTATTTTTCTTAAACAAAAACAAGCATAAATTAATCTGAAACTATTACTAAACAGTAACTGAAATATCAATGTACAAAATTAAACTAATAAAAACGATAAATAAAACAACACTATAATTAATCATAAAGATGATGTATTACTTTGTCAGGTACATTACAGTTATTTGAATATTGCTACTTACAAAACCCAGCTAAACAAACATGAATAATTTCTTTTCAGATGAAACTAGCCTCACTATTACTAAATGCTACTTACTGCACCCCTTTCTCATTGTGCATGTGAGATCTACATGCAAGAATGGGGACATGGGATGCATGTGAAATGTGAGGCTAATGAAGATTAGCCTCACATTTCACATGCATTGGTCAGAGAAGTGTCAAAACAACAATTTGTCAGTTATCTCAGTCTATTTGATATGCTCAATTAACATTTCCAAATTTGTGGTAAAGTTTAACATTTAGGAGGGGTAGGCTTAACCTCAAATGTCTCATATGATGTTCCTCTAATGGTGTTTTACCATTAGAAGAGTTACAACTTTGTGCAATTGTAATGATTCTTGTTTTCTGCAGACAAACTCTGTCTATATTTTTATTGAAGATTTACTATATCTATAAGGTCTCACTTTCCTCTTTATAAGGAAGTCAGCATTTTTACAGAAGACTTACGATGGTTTTTATTTGTTCTGTTAATGTCTTTCATGCTTTCCTTTTGAAGTTTTAGATCTGTGTATGTCCAATGTATAGCTTCAAATGAATATTTTAATACTGGGACAACATGTGTTGATTGCTTTAAACATGTGCTTTGCATTGGGAGGTGTTATTACTATTGAGTTTAATCTGTTGTACTTGTTTTGTTAGTCATTGTTCTATTTGTGCAGGTTTTGTATTGTTTCAGTCTCTGTGACTTGGTTGCTAATTTTTGTTTGGGTTTATTAATGCATTCCTGTATGCATGCCCTGTGTGGTGTTTATGTTGTATCTGTGTTTTAATTTTCTTGACTATTTTCCTAACCTCTTTCATTAAGTTTAGTGTTATATATTTTTTTAGTGTATTATGTCAACCTACCTAATTAAGGGGATTGGGGCAAGATATTGCAAAGCTACATTTTTGGTCAAATTGAACTAATCATGCCATCTGCATATAAACATAGTAGACTAAACGGTAGTTTTAACAATTTCTCAAAAATGCTAGTAGATGGTGGTCTATGCCATAGAGCACTGTATTGCCCCGAACAATTCCAGAAGTTTATGGTAGCAAAACAAGTGTGAAGCATCAGTTATTAGTGGCAGTAACATGGCTGGCAGGCAGGCCATGGATTCAGTTGAATAATGAATTGGATGATTCATCAGTCAATGAGATGGATTCTGATTATTGTGTCATCCTCGTGCATATTGTCGGTCACTGCCGTAAAAAAAAAAAATTGTTTTCTTTTGCTTATAATTATCTTTATGTATATATACATATTTTGCCAATGTAATTAATGTAAACAATTGTCGCGATTGCTGTACACGCAGTTTTATTTGTGTTTGGGAGGGTTTTTGTGTGTCAGCACGGTGTTGGTGGTGGAGGTGTTATGTATAGTGGGGAACCGGAAACGAGGCATTCTGGTTCCTGGCGTTCAGGTGTGAAGGTGTGTCCTTCGATTTGTCTTGTGTAGACTCTTTGTGTAAGCTGCCACGTGCCAGGCCTAAGCTGACCTCTTGTACGAGGGCTGTTCAAAAAGTTTGCGGCCTTGCCTATATGCGGTGCTGCGATCAATTTTATTTTTGGCAGGAATAATTCAGCCATCTGTGCTAGAGATACGATACCAATTTCCACTTGATTTGTCATAAAGTTTTGCCATGACAGCTTAGCAGATAGTCAGTGTGCACATGCTTTGTCAAAAATGGAGAAGACGGAGACTCGTGCTGTCATAAAATACCTGACGAAAAAAGGTTTGACCCCATCTCAAATCAAAGCTGACATGGATGAAGTTTTGGGAGAGTCTGCTCCTTCGTACACCACTGTGAAAAAATGGACAGCCCTTTTTAAATATGGCAGAGAAAGTGTGGAAGATGACCCTCGCAGCGGACGGCGGTCAACTGCTGTCACTGAAGAAAATATCGACAAAGTTCACAATTTGGTATTAGCAGATCGCCGTTTGAAAACGCGTGAGATAGCTGAGACAACAGGCATCTCTGTCGACCGAGTGCACCACATCCTAACCGAAAATTTGGGTATGACGAAGGTCTCAGCAAGGTGGGTACCGTGTCTGCTGACCGCTGAGCAAAAACGTGTTCGCACTTTGATATCAAAGGAGTGTTTGGGCTTCTACCAGAAAAACCCACAGGATTTCTTGCATTGGCTTGTGATTACTGATGAAACGTGGATCCATTACTACACTCCTAAAACAAAAGAACAGTTAAAGCAATGAAAACACCACAGTTTGCCACCACCAAAGGCGGAAAAGACAGTTCCATCAGCAGGGAAAGTGATGGCCTCGGTTTTTTGGGATGCTAAAGGCATCATCTTTATTGACTACCTAGAAAGAGGAAAGACCATTAATGCTGTCTATTACTATGAACTTTTGGAAAAACTGAAGAAAGAAATCGAAGAAAAGATGCCCCACTTGAAGAAGAAAAAGGTTCTGTTCCACCACGATAATGCACCTGCACATTCCGCCAGAATCACTGAACAAAAGATAAACGAACTTCGCTTCCAATTAGTTACACATCCACTGTACTCACCTGATTTTGTCCCCAGTGATTCCACCCTTTTCCAAACCTAAAAAAATTCTTGGCTGGAAAGAGATTCCACTCAAATGACGAAGTCATCTCTGAAGTGAACGAGTATTTTGCACACCTTGACAAATTGACCTATTGTGATGGCATAAAAAAGCTAGAACATCGCTGGAATAAGTGCATTGCTAACAAAAGAGACTATATTGAAAAATAAAAAAAGTTTTAACATTATTTTGTTTGTTGTTCTATTTGAGGCCGCGAACTTTCCGAACAGCCCTCGTATTGTGATCTGATATAATTATATTTTTGGTACATAAAATTTGTTTGATCCTATATCGTACTCGTCCCATCCTTTCATGGCAATCATTTTCATTCACCCCTGTGAATATCATTCCTCAGATATTTGCAGATCCCACATTATCAACCACCAGACACTGATGTTTCAACTGTGAAGAATGAAAGTGAGGTTAATGTTGTTAAGCATTATCTTTATCCTAAAATATCTTTCCATGTTTCTTCAGCATGTGGTCAATTCTTTTTCACAAGCAAAATTAATTGTCTATTGTAATTGACATAATCATGATTGTTTTGCAAGAAAATGAGTTAGTTTTTGTGATTAGGTTAATATTAAGTGTGTAAAAAAAACTATGTCTTGGCACTATCTTGCCCTGACCTCTCAATTATTGTCTAAATAGTTGATATGTTGTCATGACTCCTCATACTGACAACATATCAACTATTTTTTCCTCCACAGAAGTGGATATGCTTATATACCTAGAACCAGGTGTTTGTAAATCAGCCAACTCTAACATAGGGAACAGAAGCTGTTTAGCAGCTGCCCACTCTGGATCAAATGCTTGTAGGTTATTCTTTGCTTCATTTCTCCCCATAAAAATGAGTAAAATAGATGACCCTACTAAAAGCATCTGTTTGCACAGGTATTTGCTCTATGGTTCATCATAACTACTGGACTCTCTCATCTTGAAAAGGTGGTGACTATCAAGAGACTTATTGCTATTACAGTAGAGTGTCGTTTATCCAAATCAATTGGGGACTGGGGTTGTTCGGATAACTTATTTTTCGGATAACCGATTATGTACGAAAAAATACATTAACCTATCCCGTGTTGAAATTTTTCTCCATTGCGTGTTGCTTGGTGTTGAATTTTTGTCGATGTTAAGCCTAACGTAAACTTTTTAAAATAATAATCGTGACTATTGCATCGTTAAAAATTATTTCTTTATTTTTTACAAACAAAATAAATATATTGAAAAATATAAAAACAAAAAAAAATGTATACTTTAGAAGTTATCTAGTATCAAAAACGCTTGATTCAGCATGACACACAGTCCTCGGAAAAACACCACACAAAAGTGACAGTGCTGCCAACTAAAACACATACACAAACATAAAAAAATATTGGAGTAGCCCAAGATATAGCCAAAAATTGCAGCAGCCACAGCACTAGCGAAAATTTAAATTTGCCGACTGGAATTCTTTCGGATAAATGATGCTCTACTGTACTACAGTAGAGTTCTGCAAATATTTACTTAAAGTGGACTGAGAAGGTAACAAGTTACTGAAAATGAAGTGTTTTATGATACTAGCAGTGATAATAGTCTAAATAGTAGAATTTTCATAAAGGTATTATATACAAATTCATATTTGTACGGTCAAATCCGTCTGTAACAGACCGAACAACTCTATAGTAGACAGGTTACCTACTATAGGTATCCCTTGATTAATGTGGTTAATAAATTTCTCAATGTTACCGTGTATATCAAAATCGCATTAATCAATTACAGTAGTACCTTGGTACTTGACTGAACAATCACCACCTGCTAGAACAAATTTTTTGGTTAATAACAAATATTTTTATTTTAACTTTAATTTTTTTATTCACCTGTAAAAACATTGTCTAAGATAAAAATGAGTAACTAATTTAAAACAAAAATAAAACCTTACAGTTGTCTAATTTCGTTCAACAAAATTATACTCAATTCAGTTTGTTTTCTCATAAGTGAAAAAAAAAAAAAAAAACTGCTTGCAGAACACAATCATTAGCATGTTTTACAACCATTTCAAGTGGATGAAGTGCTTCAGCAATACGTGTCTGTGACACACTAAGATTTGTTGCAAATTCGCGAGTTGCTATTCGTTAATCTTTAACAATTTCTTCTTGCAATTTCTCTCCAACAGCTTTTGGGATCCCATATGTTTTGTATCCTTTAGTTCAAAATTTCCTGAACAAAACTTTCGAAACCACATCTGACACATTTGGAGTTTAGAAGCATCTTCCTCATACACAGTATGAGTATTTTTTACTGTTTGTATAGCGTGATACCTTTACAAAACTTAAAACACATGCATAATATGCTTGATGTACATTTTATCTGCAGACATTTTGACTTGATTTTATTCAAATGAAATGTGTTGTAAAAAAGTTTGAAATAAGCTTCAAAACAAAGATAATCTCACATCAGGAATAATGTGTTAAATTTCACCATTTATAATTACGTCACATATTTAAGTAAAAACAGCTGTTAATAAAAATACGCAAAAACTTTCCATTCAAATCCACAATAAAATTACTGTAATACAGTAGTCATATTTTGCTATTCTGTATTGGGTATGTGTATTTTTTGACTTTTTTATGTTTTATACATGCTAGGCTTGTAAACTTCTTGTTAAATTTGTGTTAAATTGGCTAAAGATACCAATTTTTCTGTTTTATGGCCTGCATTTCCTTTCCATTTCTGCATTAGGCAGATTCTGCTATATACAGGTTCCATTATACAGGTTTGACTGTATTAACTATACTGTATACCAATAGTGACTATTTCTATTTGCAGTTAAATTTTAATTAAAAAAATACTGGCTATTCAGTGGATTCTTTTGAGTTAGAGACATTGCATTTTTTCAAGGTAGTGTTTTGCAGTGACAAAACACCACCTTGAAAAAAGGGTTATATTTTTTGTTAACATGCAGAATTGATGCTATTATCAAGAGTCACTAGTAAAGAATGATATATCCTAGTGTTAAGTTACAGAAGTAAAAATCAGACTACATTTATTATTATTATTATTATTACTTTTTGAATGACACACCAAATTTTATGGACTATCAAGAGTATCAAGAGTTGAGTTTCTAGAACTCCAATGTATTATTGTATGTTTTATTAATATTACTTGGTAAATAAAACAGAAATAAAGTGATATGATAAAAAATTTGTCCCTTCACAACCAACTCATTTAAACAAAAGATGTGTGTTCTTATATGATAGAAATTTGATGGATTGTAATAATCAGACCATCCAACAGAATGCTGAAATTCTGTTTAGAAAACATTACCCAAAGATTTATTTTACTATTGTCTTCTAAACTGAAAGTTATTAAATAATATTTAAAATGCCATTTTAATTAAAATAAAACAAATTTCTACAATATAGAGTTTAAAGAATGAAGCAAATAAATCAAAATTGTAATGACATTATCTTTACTTATTTCATTAACAAAAACAGTAATGGCTGAAAATAATGATGTTTCTTTTTAACATCTCGAACACTTTATGATAAAGTCAATTTTATTTACAGTATTAAATGTCTTTTGAGTCAAATCAACTTATCTTCAAATGCATCTTTCAAAGAAACCTAATTGAACAGACTTTTTTGAAAGAAGCTGTTCAAGTATTACATCAGCAAAAATTTGCTTTTTTTGATCCTTCCTCATCATCACAAGTTATCAGAAATCAAAATACCCCTCCCCTAATTATGTCATCACAGATGGAATCATTGATGGAAACATAAAAAATGGCCGATGTTCTAAGGTGAGCTGAAAATTGTACAGTTTGTATGAATCGAAGGAGAACTTAATTTATTACTTTTAACATTACAGAAAATCACAAAAAAAGAAAAACTTTATACAGAAGTCTTCCTCTAATGAACTCCTAAAACACATGTAGATAGATCTTTTATTGTAGGCTGTAACTGACATTAGAAAAAATAAAAAAAAATTGGCCTCTGCCAGTGATGATAATTTAAAAATGTTTTCAAATTTTTCTTTAAAAGAACTTAAAACAAAGTTAAACTGTTTAAATATTTTAATCATTATTGCCAGAATAGAACAAGAACACTGTTCCTTCTTTACATATTTTAATGCAACTTGTATCTTACCATAAAAGATCTATTTAAATCTGCATTTTTAGTAATTCTCTGCACATTAGAGGACTTTTGTACAAAAAATTTTTTACAATTTTCTACATTAAACATAGTTAATCTTTCATATTTTTTTTTAAAATTTATCTTTTACATTTATAGCCAAGTTTATTACTGAGTGAAAGTCAGTAACCAAATATCTTATTATATACACTCCTCAAAAGTGAAATCACACAAAATCATGAAAGAATGCACATAGTCACATAAAAATTAAAGTACTGGTAAAAGTGACAGATATTCAAATGATTAAGTTTGCATATACATCAGGTCATGTGTAACCCAGTTTCAGGTTATAAAGACCAGCAACTGTCTCAGGCCATAAATGCTATTTGCAATAGTTTGTGGCAGCTGAACTTTCAAATAAGCGAAGAAAATTCACTGGAGATGACAGCAAGCTGAATACCATCAATTAACAGCTAAGGAATGAGACCATATCCTAAAGCTGCACAATCTCAGTTTGTTGATGCATGTAGTTGCCACACGTTAGGCATGACATGAGTATCATCCAGCAATGTTGACATGATGGACACAGAAACAACTATGAAGACAATGGAGAGAGTGTGGATTGCACCAGCACACGACACAGTGCGCAGACTGGCAGATTTGTCAAATGGCCCATTGAGATCCACT